GGTGGGCCATGGTTTGGGGGAGGGTGGTGCAGCGAGGCTGCACGGGAGTGCCGCCGGCCGGCCGCGGGCGGCTAGGCTGGTGGCGGCAGGGCGGTTCGAAGGAAGGAGATGAGCTGGAGGAAGAAGAAGGGTTGCCCGCCGTTGGATCTGCATCCGATATCCCAAAACGGCCTCAAATTCAAAAACCAAACCACTTATATCTAGCCATTCCCAAATTATATTTGGTAGTTGCCTCAAAATTCACAACCGACTATAAATGAAATGAACTCCAATGCGGCATGACATGGATTTTGCACGATGCACGCGCATGTTGCCATGTTGTTAGCACTCTGTTTTACACAGAGATTCAACGGGCGGAAGCTCGTCGCGCGGTATGAACAGCTGCAGCACGTTCGCTCCGAGCAAATTTTGCTACGCCGACGATCCAGCACGTAAACTAATTTCCGCGAGTTTAGGATTTTCGCATACAAACACACCAAACACAGACATGGCTAGATGCTGGAAAATGCGCAACCGAACTGAACCCATTTTGTAAAAAGCTCTATGAAAATTGTATTTCTGAGTTTTTAAAAGTTACAGCAAAACACGTATGTGGGATAGAAATTACTTACCCTCTTGTAAAATGTAATCTTATACTATAACAAACGATCGTTAGCCACATGTGTTAATAACAAACTTACGCTCCATGGGATAGAAAGCAAAGATACAGTTTACAGGGTAATTTTCCATCTACCATGTGAGTGGTTTTTCCATAGTTATTCCAAACTAAGAATTACAACGCTAGGTTAAAGGAAAGGTTCCAGAAACTTTCTCATTTCACTCCTCAACCAGGTTCAGTTTGCCAAAATTTGTCAAATTTTCTGTTGGGATTTTGCCTAATTCTGTAAAGAAAATCGCCCTTTGGCCGATTCGGTTCTTTGATCAAACTTTGCCTGCATTTGCATGTGCAGGAAGAAATGCAAGCAAAAACGCACTGAAAATTGTGCTGCCGGTGTTAGCAAGTGTCCTGATGCTCACCTGCATTTTCTGTTTATGGTTCTGCAGGTTCAGAGGTACGGTAATTTCATTAAGCAAAATTTCAGTGATAAATTTAAACTAACTGTAGCAAAGAAGTACATGCAGGTTTATTTTTCTTCCACCCTTTTAGTAGCATGTGATGCTCATGCATTTGGTGATGGAATATATTACAGACAAGGGAAGAAGAACCAATTCAACAGAGAGCCAAAACAAGCTGACCGCGTCTAATTGGAATGAAATGGGCCAAGTAGATCACACTGAAGACCTTGAGTTTCCATGCATACGGTTTGCCGACATTGTTGCCGCCACACGGAACTTCTCCGAAACATGCATGATCGGACGTGGAGGCTTCGGCAAGGTTTACAAGGTACTATAATTTTTTTTACCAGTTTTTCTAATTTTCAGTCACTTGAAACTTTCTCATCCGATGCGAGGAACAGTTTTAACACCTTAAACTTTGGTCGATGCACCCCAATGACAGTACAGTAATCTTTATCTCTCTTGTTTCTTGCTCATTCGAAAGGGAACATTAGACAGGGGTCAAGTGGTTGCTATCAAGAGGCTGAGTAAAAATTCAGATCAAGGGGCAGAGGAGTTCAAGAACGAGGCCATGTTGATCTCCAAACTTCAGCACAGGAACCTGGTTCGTCTCCTTGGCTGCTGCACCGAGGCAGCAGAGAAGTTGCTCATCTACGAGTACCTGCCCAACAAAGGCCTGGACACCATCCTCTTCGGTACGTATACATTCAGGTCTCTTTGATTCATAGGACAGGAATATCGCGGGAATAAAAAAGCCATAGAAAATAAGATGGCATGTACCTCAACTTTTATATGGGAAAATATGCCATTTGATTCATATGATAGAAACTTTTTCACCGGGTCTAGGCTAATGTTTTTTTTATTAATCCAAAGGATTGGTTCCTATCCTACATAGGAATGAGAATCCATTCTTACAAACCAAAAGGCCCCAAAAAAGAATTCCTGTAAAATTCCTATCCTTTAAAATTTCTACAAATTTCATGTAAACTAAATGACGCCTAACCGCCTAAGTAATAAGAGTACTAAAGCAAGTTGCTGAACTTATTCTTTGCCACAGTTCCTCAAGTTTGTTTGCTGCAGACAGTGCAATGAAATCGGTGCTAGACTGGCCGACGCGGCTGGGGATCATCAAGGGCGTGGCGAGGGGGCTCCTCTACCTACACCAGGACTCTCGGCTGACGGTGATACACAGGGACCTCAAGGCCAGCAACGTGCTGCTGGACGCGGAGATGAGGCCCAAGATAGCGGATTTCGGCATGGCCAAGATTTTCGGTGACAACCAGGTGAAGGCCAACACCAAGCGCGTCGTCGGAACATAGTGAGTAATCTCAACACTTGGGTGAATTTACAGAAAGAAAAATAAATAGAGGGTTCACTTTGGTTTAAGTTGGTTATTACTAGCATTTGCCATAAATTACTGTAGCACCTCCCTGACAAACAAACAAAAAATGTGTGGACAGTGGCTACATTGCTCCCGAGTACTTGACGGCGGGCGTCTTCTCCGTCAAGTCCGACGTGTACAGCTTCGGCGTGCTGCTCCTGGAGATTGTGAGTGGTGTCAGGATCAGCTCTTCCGATGGCATCATGGAGTTCCCGAGCCTTATTGCCTTTGTAAGCACATGCATTAACTAGAACTGCCAAGTTCATGCAGTTAACTTCCTTTCTCAGTACAGTCCATTCCATGTTATTATGTCTAATTCCATATATTGCTTCGTGTAGGCATGGAGCTTGTGGAGGGAAGGGAAGGCAAGAGACGTGGTGGATCCATCCATGGCAGGGAGCTGTTCAGCTGATGAGGCATTGGTCTGCATCCACGTCGGGCTCCTCTGCGTTGAGGATGAACCAAGCAGGAGGCCGCTCATGTCATCCGTCGTGTCCATATTTGAGAACGGAAGTGTGTCGTCCATGTCGCTCCCGACGCCGATCCAGCCTGCATATTTCACAATGATGGAAGAGAGGAGAGACGATACTGTGAACACCAGAAACACAATGACCATGACGATTCTCGAGGGAAGGTAGCATCAGTGCAATCCGAATGCTTGTAGAGCATCTCAAAACTGCCGTTTAGAGTACTTTGGGCGAAAAACAATGCTTCAACAACAGATGGTGTATATGCATATGATGATGCAAATTATTTCATTATGCCAAAAAAACGCCTCCTGCTTCTACATATTTGGAGCACCGCGACCGGTGATGCAAAAACACAATCGTAATGAAAATGGTCTTTTTAAGGCACTTTATGCCAAAAACAATGCAAGTTGCGACACATCTGGCCGTTTATCGTTCCTTTTTTACCGAGAAAACTTCAGAAAATACAAAAATTGTCGAAATCCGAAACAGCTTGTCATGATGCCTTAAATTTATCATACAAGGTCGTGAAACAGATTTGGGGCCTTTCAAGAATTTCGAGAAACATCGTGTTCTCGAACGGAGCGTTCTGTCCTACCTAGACACTCTCCGTTGAAATTCTTGAAATGACTCCATCTTTTGCAAGCAGATGAGAATTCTCATGTAGGCATTCATGCCAGGTTTGAACAATTTTCGACACCGTATGCAACTTGTGGCATGTTTGACCTTTTTCGACCAAGAAACTCCAAAAAATTGCAAAATTTTGTTGAAAAACAAAATAAGTTGGCATGGTGTCTAGAATTGGTCATACAAGGCCATAAAAAAACCAGGGTCATTTCAAGGATATCGAAAAACAATGTGCTCTCAGAGGAGCCTTTAGACCTACCCGAACACCATTCGTTGAACATGGTCTATGTTTGGACATTCTTCAAATGAACCCAACATTTGCAAGCAGGTGAGCATGCCCATGGTAGGCACTCATGTCAGGTCTAAATGATTTTTGACACTGTATACAAGTTCCGACATGTTAGGCCATTTATCGGCCACTTTTGACCGAGAAAACTCCAGAAAATGCAGAAATTGTTAAAAAAGTAAAATAATTTGGCATAGTGCCATTAATTGGTCATAAGCTCATGAAAAGTATTGGGGTCAACTGATGCAAGAAAACTTGCCCTCAAACGGAGTCTACTCGCCACCCGAACACCCTCCGTTTGAGTATGGTGTTTTTTTGGACATTCACGAAATGATCTCAGCTTTTGCCAGCGGGTGGGCACACCCATGGTAGGCATCCATGCCAGAATTGAAGAAGAAAAAATTTCTGCCACATATAGCAACGAGTGTGTGCTTGCAATAAGGACGTCAACTCCATGGGCCAAGCTGATTAGTTGCACAAAAAAATCACGAATTTGAAAAAAAGTTCGTGGAATTGAAAAAAATCATTGATTTGAAAAAAAATCATGATTTTGACAAGAAAGTTTACGAAGTTGATAAAATATTATGAAATTGAAAAACATTCATTCATTTTGAAAAAGTTCACGGATTAAAAAACAGTTCATTAATTTGAAAAAATTCACAAATTTAAGGAAGTATTCACGAATTTAAGAAAATGAGAAATAAAAGAGAAAATAAGAAAAATAAAGATTAAAATTGAGTAAAAAAACGAAAAAAACTAGAAAACTAGACTGAGAAGATGCGCAACAAGAAGAATTAAAGAAGTAATTAAGCATAACTACTGAGGTGTCCGAGATGGTTACCGGGGATGGAAGTAAACCAAGAGGTTGGGAGTTTGAATCCTAAGCACCTATTTTTTGAAGATTGAAAAAAGAAAAGAAGAGAAAAAAAAAATGGGCCATGCCCAGGATGGAGGGGTGTGCGCCGATTTGTATGACAGGCGGACGGATCGGCTACGTATGTCTATGTATAACTCGTAGTGCCACATACGGAGGTGAGTGTACCTTATGATCAAATGATGTGGGGGGGGGGCTATGGTCATGTGGCCATGACCTTCGGTAGAATATTTCCAAATTTTCAGACCTCAAGACATAAAATGATCTTTGTGAGCACCTAATTGCTTGCTTCTCAAGGCCAGTTGATTCGAATCCAATGACTCAGCTTTTTCACTATTTCTTCTGTTCATCCTTTGTCATCTTTCTCTTCCTCTGCCCTAACCCAACAACCAATCCCCTCCAGTGATGCTATTTGCTCGGACTATCTTTTCAAACCTCAAGCGGAAACGATTTTTCTTTCCGACGATGGTGCTCCACCCCCAACCCATGCACCACTAACACCCTCCTCACCTCCGCCAGTGTTGTCGCTCCATGTTGGTTTCACCCCCCCCCACCTCGCTCTAGTTTTCGCCTCCATTGTCATCGGTGCATCCTGTCACCACTGCCTCCAATGTGGTAAGAGCGTGAACCACGAAGAAATTGCTCGGTTGGGAGCCGATGTGATTTATAAAAAAAATAGTTGCCCGATCAATAAACCTGGGTCTCTCCTCTTGGTGTCACAAAAGAAAACTTCCTTCTTCATTTCATTTCTTTTTTCTATAAGACCTCACTCTGCTTTGCTCTGCTCTGCTCCTACTCGTGTCGTGTTCACGCCATCCGCACGTGCCAGTCTAGACTTGTCTCCTCCCGTCCTCCGCCTCGTCAGATCACGCCCCGCTCCTCCCGGTCACCCTAGCACCGCCACCTCCCAAACCCCCCAAATCACAAGTCCACCCGCGGCGGCTGGCTGGCTGGCAGGATAGGCGACGAGGCCAAGTACTCCCTCCTTTTCGGTTTATAGGGCTTATTATCGGTGTCAAAACCGGCGGATCTCGGGTAGGGGGTCCCGAACTGTGCGTCTAGGCAGATGGTAACAGGAGACGAGGGACACGATGTTTTTACCCAGGTTCGGGCCCTCTCGATGGAGGTAAAATCCTACGTCCTGCTTGATTAATATTGATGATGTGGGTTACAAGAGTAGATCTACCACGAGATCAAGGAGGCTAAACCCTAGAAGCTAGCCTATGGTATGATTGTTGTTCGTCCTATGGACTAAGGCCATCCGGTTTATATAGACACCGGAGAGGGCTAGGGTTACACAGAGTCGGTTACAAAGGTAGGAGATCTACATATCCGTATCGCCAAGCTTGCCTTCCACGCCAAGGAAAGTCCCATCCGGACACGGGACCAAGTCTTCAATCTTGTATCTTCATAGTCTTGGAGTCCGGCCGATGATGATAGTTCGGCTATCCAGACACCCCCTAGTCCGGAACTCCCTCAGTAGCCCCCGAACCAGGCTTCAATGACGACGAGTCCGGCGCGCATATTGTCTTCGGCATTGCAAGGCGGGTTCCTCCTCCGAATAATTTATAGAAGATTGTGAACACCAGGATAGTGTCCGGCTCTGCAAAAATAAATTCCACATACCACCGTAGAGAGAATAATATTACACAAGATCAATCTGCTGACGTATTCTGTGGCGTGACATCACACCACTTCCAAGCCTTTACTCGAATTGTTTTTATTGTTCCACCTCAGCGCGTTTAGCGAGGCGGTTTCCTTGGCACGTCTTGTCGAAGCAGAGATCGTGTTCCCCTTATTCCGGGATTCCCATCAATACGGGCGTGGGTAACCCAACCGCGCCATTGATTGTGACGCTTGGGAGATAAGCGAGTTTTACCAGGCCGGTGGGGACACATGTTTTCGTCCGCCCATATAAGGGGATAAAGATCCAACCCTTTTACCTGCGCCTTCTTCCTCCTTGGCTTATCCATCTCCGCGAACTCGAGCTCCAGCGCCCAAGTCCGCACATCTCACCTCAACCTTCTCCAAATATGTCCGGAGCGGGAGGCAAGTGGATGGCCTCCTCCGTAACGGAGGGGCATATCCAGAAGCTGCGCAGTGCCGGATACTTGTCCAGCGACATTGTGCACCGGCTCCCCGACGAGGGAGAGCTCATCCCCACCCCGAGGCCCCATGAGAGGGTAGTATTCCTTCCCCATTTCCTCCGCGGACTGGGCTTCCCACTTCATCCCTTCGTCCGAGGGCTCATGTTCTACTACGGCCTGGATTTCCATGATCTGGCCCCGAATTTCATCCTCAACATCTCGGCATTTATCGTCGTGTGCGAGGCCTTCCTCTGCATCCAGCCCACTTCGGCTTGTGGCTCAAGACCTTCAGTGTCAAGCCGAAGGTTGTGAAGGGCAGCCAAGCGGAGTGCGGAGGCGCCATGGTGGGAAGGATGTCCCACGTTACGTGGCTGGAAGGCACTTTCGTGGAAACCATCAAGGGGTGGCAATCGGGGTGGTTCTACATCACCGAGCCGCGTGACGCCGATTGGGCAGCGGCCCCGAATTCAGATCCGGCATCCCTACACGGCTCACCTCTTGGAAAGAGAGTGGCCTGATCTGGGGGAATTCGTAGGAGCTGACCGGACTCCAAGCCTGTATCCAGAAGCTGGTGGACAAGAAGCTCAAACTTGTCAACGTAGTCCAGGTCATGCTCATCCGCCGGATCCTCCTGTGCCAACGACGGGGCTTCAACATGTGGGAATTCGATCCGGCGCAGCACCAGACCCTGAGCGGGCTCTTCGACACTACGTACGAAGATGTCTGGAAGGTGCTGTTCAAGGGCGCCGAAGCTCCCGCATCCGCTACCGAAGATCGCGGGTTCCGCTCGCAGCGTCCGGCTGACGAGGTAAGTGATTTTGCCACTTGTTTTCCATAGTTTGACTCTATGCGGGATCTAAACTCCCTTTCCTTTGACAGGACTGGCTGAAGAAGGCCGCACAGGCTATCTGTCCGGCCCCATTGCCAGAGGACCCAGCGGACGCCCGTTTGACGGGGCTGCTGGCTTCGGCACCCCACGTGGTGCCGGAGAAGAAGGCCAAGAAGAAGGCCACGGGGACTCGGAAGAGTTCCCGTTTTCAGGTGCTATCGGATGATGAATCCGAGGCCGACTCCTCCCACCAAGGCGAGGAGGAGAAGAAAGCCTCTCCCCCAGCGGGAGGAGGGAAGAAAAGGAAGGCCTCCCCAACAAGGGAGGCCGAAGGGTCCAAGAAGGGAAAACTCTTCCCCCGGACCGCCCCGCCAATGCTAGTGACGACGACGAGGACTGGCCTCCAAGGGCCAAGCCCCTGGCGAGATCGTAAGTATCCGGAATCCCAAAAACTTCAAGGTTCTTTCT